CTCTCTCTCTCTCTCTCGTGTGGGTCTGTGCGCTCGCTGACGGTCTTCTCGTCCACAGGGTGTTCCGCTGTACTCTCACCAGCATCCCGCAGACGCAGTCTCTGCTGAACAAGGCCAAGCTTCCCCTCGGCCTGCTGCTGCACCCCTTCAAAGACCTCTCTGTGAGTACCACATCTCACCGCTGCGGAGTACGGCTGCACATCGAAAACCCAAATTCCCAAGAACCAGGTGTTCGATGAGACGCGCTTCAGATGCAGCTTCTGTGCTTCACTTATGCATTTTTGGGCGAGCTTTATTAATCCTATCACAATCAGAACACTAGTGCTCATCTCAACACGAGCATCCTCTGAGGGAAATGATCTTATAAGTTATTAATGAGCTAATGGTCTTCTTCAGCAACTGCCGGTGGTGACGTCCAGTAATATCGTGCGCTGCCGCTCTTGTCGGACCTACATCAACCCGTTCGTGACCTTCCTGGACGCTAGAAGATGGAAGTGCAACCTGTGTCACCGAGTCAATGATGGTGAGCGCTAGTGTGATGATCAGAGAGATTCTGCATAATTAAAGCCGTATGCACTGCATTGTTTTGGTGTTTTGTGATCTCAGTTCCAGAGGAGTTCATGTATAATCCGGTCAGCAGATCGTATGGAGCGCCTCACAAAAGACCAGAGGTCCAGAACGCCACCATCGAGTTCATCGCCCCGTCAGAATACATGGTGCGAGTTATTATAGTTTTTATTAACATTTTAATGTTTCATTTTAGATTTTCCGTTTTTGTTTGTCATTTTATAATTTCGTTGTATGTTTTTGTCTTTTTTTTTTGTCTAAATAATGATTCAGAATTTTTTTACATTTTAGTTTTTTGTTTTTCATTATAATTTTTTGTTGAAATTTTAACATTTTAATCATTTTGTTGTGTGTTTGTCATTTTTACTAGTTTTTTTATGTCTGTGAGGTTTTTAGTAATTTATTTCCGTTTTAGTTTATTTTAGTTAATCATAATAAAATGAACAATGTTTCCATTGCAACTAGCTAATATTAAAAGTTAAGTTTTTTTAATATATTATTTTAGTTATCATTTAAGTAACTTTTTTAAAATGGTTTTAGTTAGCTATAATAACCCTGGTTTCATGTGGGCACTGACAGACAGTTCTATCTGTAACATCATAGTACAGATCTGTTAAATTACATGCTCATATCAAGATTTCCACGTTATGAAGTGATAAGCCATGCAGCAGGCACTTATAAACTCTACATACAGACTGAGAGTGTCTGAGAGAAGTGAGATGTATGTAATGCCAGCGATCTGAAGCGCAGTGTTTGGTCCGCAGCTGAGGCCACCGCAGCCCGCTGTTTACCTCTTCGTCCTGGACGTGTCTCATAACGCGGTGGAGACTGGATATCTGGATGTCGTCTGTCAGACGCTCCTGGAGAGCCTCGACTCGTAAGTGAGCATCGCTGCTGTCTGCTGCATTTGAGCTCACTCATCAGTGTGTCGTGTGTTTCTTTACCATGTAGGCTTCCTGGAGACGCTCGGACGAAGATCGGCTTCATCACGTTCGACAGCACCATCCATTTCTACAACCTCCACGAAGGCCTGTCGCAGCCTCAGATGCTCATCGTGTCAGACATCGACGGTAAGCGCGTTCTCCCATCGCTACAGATGTGCAGTGAGGTCTCAGAAGTGAGCTGACTGTCGGCCGTTCCTCCCTCAGATGTGTTTCTGCCGACGCCGGACAGCCTTCTGGTCAACCTGAGCGAAAGCAAAGAGGTGAGCGAGCGAGCAGCACGAGTGCTCTGGCCTTCAGACGCGACGCTAAACGCTGGTCTGGCTTGTCGTTGCAGCTGGTCCAGGATCTGCTGGCGAGTCTGCCGCAGATGTTCGGTCAGACGATGGAGACGCAGTCTGCTCTGGGTCCGGCGCTGCAGGCTGCCTTCAAGCTGCTGTCTCCCACCGGAGGACGCATGACTGTGTTCCAGACGCAGCTGCCAACCATCGGCATTGGCGCGCTCCAGCCCAGAGAAGAGCCCAGCCAGAGAGCCAACACCAAGGTTAGCCACCTGATCGATCGATTGATTGATCAGTGTGGAAACTGTTTCGAGCCTTGGGTTCAATCATTATTTACCCTGGAGACTTTGCACTGGCAAAATTTTCACATTTTGCTGTTTTATCAGTTTGTTTTTTATTAGGGCTGTCAAGCGATTAAAATGTCTAATTACATGATGTGCCAATTAATTAATTGAATTCATCGTAAATGAATCACATCAGTTTTGGCTGAGAAATTACCCCTAAAAGATCATTAAAAGTCATCATGTGAAAAGCATTGAATAGACTTTATGAAAAATGGCTTTAGAGAAAAACAAAAAATCGCTTTTGATTCAGCTTTGCATAAATAATGATAATGCTTAATGGACTTTTTTTAAAATGCATATTGAAATATGGAATGATTTTTAAAAAATGAAATGATACTCTGAACATGAAACTGCGAATATAAAAGTAGGTGGCGGTGAGTCACTGTCTTAATGAGTGAGTCATTGAATCATTCACTCGCTCAAGTTGTTCAAAACAGTGGATTCATTTAGTAATGAATGTGTTTCTCAGAGACGCTCAACAGTTCTGCTGAGTTTGATTGGACCTATTTTTGTTTGCGAAATTGATCAAAACAGGTATTATTGTGTCTAATGTGTAGCACAGTATGAACTTCTTGTTTATTGAACTGTCGTATAAATCAATATAATTAGCAGTAGTGCAGATATTGGGGAGAAACAGCACTCTAGCTGGTGTGATAGTGCTAAATTATATCATGTGATGTAAATACAAGGGAATTTTTTTTTTTTTTTGGTCCTCATATTTTGAATTTTAGGCATTCTAATAGACTTTATCCCAGTCAGTCGTCCTGCATCATGTTCATCAGAAACTGCATCGTCTGCGACTGCACATTATTTTTTCCATAATTAATCACACCAAATTAATGTTAAATCAACAGCCCTTTTTTTTTACTTTTATAAGAGTTTATCATGTGAAATACTAGATGTTAATGGGACATTTGCAGCTGTTCTGTGGTGGTTTTCCCTCTGTAGGACGTGCAGCATCTCAGTCCTGCGACGGATTTCTATAAGAAGCTGGCTCTGGACTGTTCTGGTCATCATGTGGCGGTGGATCTGTTCCTGCTGAGCGCACAGTACTCGGATCTGTCCTCTCTGGGTCAGTCACTAACTACTACACCTTTACTAATTAGCTCGTGAAGCGTTGTCTAGTGAGGCTGCTTCAGCATCACTTCTGAGGGACCTGACCGATATTAGACAAATACATCAAACATGTAAAGCCTAAAAAATATAAATAATTGTCCAAATTTTTTTATTTTTTATTTTTTTCAATGGAACCATTTACTGAACCCTTAAAATGCTTGCATATACAGGGCTGTACGTTAACTTTTTTTTCACATAGCACTGGTGCTACAGAGGTTGAAAGTTTTGTAGCACAGGCCAAAAAGTTGTAGCACAAGAATAAAACGTCTGTTATCGTGTCTGAAAACAAACACAAGTAATGGAGTTCATCACTTAAACAGGCACTGATGTTCCATACAGAGCACAAAAAATACAAACCATCACAAAAATTGTTTTAGACAAAGTTTTCTTCATTTGCTAAAAATGGAAGAGTGCAGAAACATAACACCTCTTACACCTTAACACAATATAAAATAAAAAACAATGGCAGACATTTAGGCAAAGTTAGCAAAGATAAAAATCTTTGTCATTATTTCATATTTGATCCATCAGGCTTTTATGGCTCATATAGTCTGAAACTGTGAGAATATGGAGGAAAAAACAGCTCAGTTTTATTCAGGGACTCAAACTGAGCAAAAATATGAATCTGCTGCAGATGCTGATATTTCTGTGATATCCTGATGCTTGTAATATAAATCAGTGAGATCTTTCTAACAGTGCAGCAGATACTGACATAAAATGATCTAAATATCAGTCGCTCTATATCTGCAGTAATCTGTCTCAGTAAGATGAGAGTGAAATGCTCCAAACATATAATGCAGTGACTGAGAGCTGAAGAAATAAACGCTCCTCAAAAGATCCTGAGGATCAGATTTGAGACTCTAAAACATGATTGATGGAGAATCAAGTAAAGCTGAGCTGCTTCAGTCCAGTAAGTGTTCATCTGGAGATATTACTGCAGTTATTCTGACGCTTACTTGATCAAAATCAGTCAAGATTTGACACGAGAAGCTCGAGCTGAAGCTGGACATTTGTACAATTACACTAAAAGAGCTTTGACTGGATAAAACACTTAAACTATCAATCAGACGACAGAAGAGTTTGTTTAACAGCAAAGTCTGATCATGTTGTGAATTTCTAAGGCTCTAAATGATAATTTCAAATATGATTCAGTAGCTTTATAGAGTTAAATCATGTCATCAGACTGTAGGAATCAGTGCATGTCATTTATTAATGTGATTCATGCAAATTCACAAGAGTAAGACCGGCCGTCTCATTATCAATATCAATTACCAACAATCAGATGTGAATTCACGACGGAGTCTGTGTGAGTGACGGATGAGGGCCGTCTGCAGTGCGCTTCATCTTTCTCCTGTAGATGTGTGTGTAATATAGTGATCAGCACAGATGAGCATTAATGCCTCAGTGTGGTTTGTGTCTGTGGAAACTCTAACGATCGATCCTTCATCTCCTCCTGAAGGCTGTATATCCAGATACTCGGCTGGAAGCGTCTATTTCTACCCTTCATACCACAAGCAGCACAGCCCGCCTCAGACGGAGCGTCTCCAGAAGGATCTCAAGAGATACCTGACGCGCAAGATCGGCTTCGAGGCTGTCATGAGGATCCGCTGCACTAAAGGTGTGTTGAATGCAGAGGTCGCGTTAACCCAAAATGTTCCATCATTTACGGATTTTTTTTTAGCAGTAATGAAAGAATCTGAAGGCTATTCGTCACTGACAGATTACACTGAGGGAGATCTATTGTAATTTATAACTGTAATTCCCAGCCCTGTCCAGTTGGTGGCAGCAGAGCACAGGATCATCAGCTCCAGAACAAACATAAACCGGTCACCAGTCTTTTGCTATACGTTTGATTACGCTCAGTCGAGTATCCACTAGTGAAGCGAAAGAGACGATCAGTTCGCTGCCGCTTCGCTGGATCTGAGGCACTACAGCGATCTATCACGCCACAGTATTTATTGCTTGAATTTCCTAATAAAATTGACTGAATTTGAAATCTGAGACTTTTTCATATCAAAAGTAATAAAGCACAGAGCTTAGCCTATCGTGATGTATTGGATGGGAGGCGCACTATATGTACGGTTCATTCATCAACTGAAAACAGCATCAATTGATTTAAAGGGGTCATATGATGCGATTTCAAGTTTTCCTTTGTCTTTGGAGTGTTACAAGCTGATTGTG